TATACATAGGGTTTATTATGTGTCAGGCACTGTTCTAAGCACTTTCCATTTAATCCTCGTAACAACAGTAATAATAATAGCTAACATTTATATAGTACTTACCCTGTGCCAGTCTACGTTCTGATTGCTTTTCATGTATTAATGCATTTAAATCTCAACCGTGTTGAGTTCTATTATTCCTATGTTACAGGTGAGGAAACTGAGTCAGAGTTCAAGTGACTTGCCCAAGGTCACACGGCCTGGTAAGAATCAGAGCTGGGATTAGGATCAAGAGCATGGCTCTATAGCTAGTTCTCTTAACCCCTGTGCTATGCTGCCTTACCACACATAAGCAGAGGTATTGAAATAGGATATGATCCAACATGGTACCCAACATGGTTTCTGGAGAGTATATGTCAGCTTTCTCAGAGTTGCAAAGCTGCCCAGTTTTTCTTTTCTAGACACCTCAGCAAAATTCCCCTGAGCATCTCTAAGAGGATTATCTTCCCATCTCTGCACCAATCCCTTCACCAGAGGGATGGGCCATTCTGAATGACAGCTACCTCTGCAACTGGAGCTAGAGTCAATCCCACTTAAACTAGAGGGCTTGGGATTTGGAGAGGGGTGGTGTTACCACAAGTTAGTGAAGGAATTCTGGGTTACATCAAAACAGTGAGATATTCTCGATATTGCCTTTAGAAAACATGGAAAACAGATGGCATTTATATTCTTGATTAACCTTTTGTTTGTTCTTACAGTTATTGCCTTTGTATTTATTTTATCTGGGCTTAGAAATCTTAACCCTTTGTTTCATTTTTCTACCTTATACTCTTTACTGTTGCTTTTCACAGCAATTTTTTTTTCTATTTCTTTTAAGTCATGTAGCCTCAGACTGGACATGCTGCGCGAATCAGCATTTTTTGAGCCAATAGCCACCTCATCCCTTCACCTCAAGTAATGGTCGTATTACTCTACGAGGCATTTTCTTAAACTATATGAACTCATTTTCTGTACCAAAATGGAAGAATGTTCACGAAAATTTACAGTGCAATCTTCCTGGGAGAATTTGGATAAAAAGTTTGGGATTTCTTCTATAGTCTCTAAAGTATGTCACACATTTAATTACATGATCAGTTTCATTAGTGAGCTTGTGTGGTTAAATTTAAACAGTCTATCTTTAACTGAATAAGGAATATCTAGACTCAACCTTGTGGTTCCATTGCAGGAAGATAAGTACTATTCCGATCATAATTTCTAACCTTTTAAACTCATGATCCATTTTTAGCAATCCTGGTGACTGTAATGTAAACTGTTATAGTGGTAGTTGGAATGGAATACTGGTCCAGATTTTTAAAGTTAAACCATCAGAGATTTAGGTTTTGGT